AACGAGGACAACACAGAGATGATCAAGCTCATCGAACTCATTCTGGGCGCTGCCATCGAATGCGAGAACAAGAAGGAGTACATCGAAAACATCATGCTGCTCGATGAGAGCTCCCAGCGCATCCTCATGGTGTTCATCGAGCGGGTACCATTTTGCCTTCTTCTTCTTCTTCTTCTGCTTCTTCTGCATCTTCTTCTCTACTGGAGAGGCTCAGCTGACCACTTTCTTTGCTTTGCGTTCATTTTCTCTCAGTTGTTGAGGGAACATCAGATGAAGCCCGCGCACTCGCCCAGACACCACAGCCAGTCGTATGATGATGGTGCGGAGACTCAGGGTGACTATTTTTATTCTTTTATTTTGTATCATACGATTGTCCGTTCCTTCTCTTAACAATGCGAGTGTGTACGCTCTCTGTTCCACACAGCCAACGAGATCCAGATTCAAAGCTTGCGACTCGAGAAGGAGGAACTGCAGGAGCAGTTTGATGAGCTCCAAGTCGAGCACTCCTCGCTCGCCTCTGAGAACGTACGCTACATACTGACTTTAATATATATACTCATTTCATTTCTCATCATTTATATGTTTTAAAACTATTATATCCATAGTAATGATGCTTTGAAGAAATTGGCGGCTGACTCGTGTTTGGCTGGTGCACAGGCCAACTTGAGGTCGGAAAAGGAGACGTTGATGGAGATGGTGAAGAACATGGAAAAGCAGCTCGACGAGAAGACCAAGAAGGAGCAGCACGACAAGGAACGGAGGGAAAAGGAAGAGACCGAGCTCATCAACGCTCTCCAAAAGCACAGCAGGTAAACTTACAAGGCTTTGCTATTCGAGTTGTGTCACACATATTAGGCGCTCACCACGAAATGTTTGTCCTTCAACAGACAGATTTCGGAGGAACAGTATCACGCCCTACAGATAGAAATCGAGGTGCGACACACACACACACAGACACACACAGACACACACACACACACAACATGCCGTCCAGCTCTTGACGCTTGGTGATGCTGACCATTGACGACAGGAGAAAGACAAATCTCTGTTCGAGTTCAAGAAAAAGGTGGACGAACTCTCCAAGTACGCAGCGGAGGCACGCAAGCTGAGGTACGTCGCCGAGACCCCCCCCCCAATCTGGTGCCGCGGCCTTGCTTGCGTGGTGGCGCCGGTTGAGGCTCATGCGCGCGCGCACGGACGGACATGTCTGGGCTGCAGGGACGAGATGGACATGATGAAGGAGAAGGTGGCCAACGCGGACCAGGTCGAGGAGAAGTTCGCCCATCTGCAGGACAAGCTCAAGGAGATGGCGGAGCTCCGAAAGCAGTACAAGGCCCTGCAGGAGCAGAGCAACACGTACATGCAGCGGTCGATCGAGCTCGAAGACGAGGTCGTCAAGATCCCCCTCCTCAAGGCACAGATCGAAGACTACAAGAAGCAAGGTACGTGCGACAAGAATGATTTTTTTAACAATAATAGTTTAATTTGTGTATTTATCAATAATTAATTTCCTTTGCTCTCCAGTGCTTGCGTTCAGGTCGGAGGCGGCAACGACGGGCGAGAAGGACATCAAGCAGCAGCTCGACATGCAGCAGCTCCAGGAGGCCCTCAAGCAGATCCAAACGGAGCGCGATGTACGTTTTATTTATTTAGTTATTATTTACAATTTGGCCAACATCACAATTTTTTGGTTACAAATTCTTTTGTGAGTCTCACCACCTTGCCGTTGTGTCCACAAACAAAATAGATGCACCAGGAGAAGGTGGACTCGCTCGAGGAGACCATCGCTCAGCTCAAGACCGACCTGGAGGAGGCCAGACGTACGTCGTGGTGAAAGTTGTTGTTGCTGCTGCTGCTGCTGCTGCTGCTGTTGTTGTTCTGACGGTGTCTTGCGGTGCGTGCAGTGATGGGCGGACCCAACAGGGGCGGAGGCGCCGGCGACGAGGACGGCATGTCCGGCTTCCACGAGATTTTCACGCCCGAGCTGTACGTCGCGCCCTCCCCAAACCATTAATTATTGCTATGACCGGACTGATGATGTTTGGTGTTGTTGCAATGGCGCAGGCGGGAGAAGATGGCGCGCCTGGAGCGCGAGAACAATCGCCTCAAGTCGGAGATGGGCGAGGGCGGAGCGGCGGAGCAGATCGCCCTCCTCCAGGCCAAGCTCGACGACGCCACCGCGCTCAACGCCACCTACGAGGAGAAGCTGCGCCAGCTCTCCGCCCGCACTCCGTATGTGCTCTCTTGGGTGTGCGTGTTGTCTTGGGTTTGCACATGACTGCTGACTCGCCTCTGTGTGTGTGTGTGTGTGTGTTGCTAATTGATAGAGACAGTGAGGAAGAGAGTGGTAAGGCGCCGAAGGAGGTGAGCGACCTGATGCAAGAGCTCACCAAGAAGGACGCCACCATCGTCGACCTCGAAGAACAGCTCAGGAAGGTCTACGAGGTACGACGACGATGACCAACTCCCCGCCGACCCCACGACCAATGCGCGGGGACAGGGCTCAGCCATTGCTGAGTGGGTTGTTAAACTTTCACTTTTACTCTGTGCAGGAGGCCAAGCGGTACCGCGCCAACGCGGCCGCCAGCGGGGAGCCCACGCTGGAGGGGCCGGTGGTGGAGGAGATCGCCATGAAGCTCGCCCAGGTGCAGGAGAAGAACGAAGCGCTCAACTCCGAGAAGCTCCGCCTCGAGGGCTACCTCCGCACCGCCAAGAAGGTGTGCCTTGTCCCCGCAACCAACGTGATGTTGAGCACCACTGTGATTTTTTTCCCCCTTTTTTCTCACCACTCCTGCCGCAAC